CCCAAAGCCCCAGTACATAGTTGTCTGTCATAGCTGCACATCCTTCTAGTTGCTGTATGTGGGACGCGGCCTCAGCATGGCTGGAGGAGTGGTGCCTCAGTGCGCACCCGGGATCCGAACCCGGGCCGCCGGCAGCGAAGCGCACGCACTTAACCGCTAAGCCACGGGGCCGGCCTCTCTTGTCTTTTTGATGATAGCCATTCTAACAGGTGTGCAGTGATATCTCATCGTGGTTTTGATTTGCATCTCCCTGATGATTAGTGATGTTGAGCACCTTTTCACGTACCCGTTGACCGTCTGAATGTCTTCTTTGGAAAAATGTCTATTCAGATCCTCTGCCCATTTTTTAATCAGATTGTTTTTTTGCTATTGAGTTGTGTGAGTTCTTAATATATTTTGAGTATTAGCCCCTTATCAGATATATGATTTGCAGATAGTTTCTCCTATTCTGTAGGTTGTCTTTTCATTTTTTGGTGGTTTCCTTTGCTGTGCAGAAGCTTTTTAGTTGGATGTAGTCCCACTTGTTTATTTTTGCTTTTGTTGCTTGTGGTGTCAGATTAAAAAAATCATTGGCAAGACCAATGTCAAGGAGCTTACAGCCCACGTTTTTGTCTGGGAGTTTTGTCGTTTCAGGTCTTACATTCAAGTCTTTAACCCATTTAGAGTCAGTTTTTGTGTACGGTATAAAATAGTGGTCCAGTTTCATTCTTTTCGCATGTGGCTGTCCAGTTTTCCTAAAACCCTCCTAGGTTGTCTTACAGAAGTTTTACAGTTTTAGCTCTTACGGTTGAGTCTGTGATCCATTTTGTGTTAATTTTTATATGTTCTGTGAGGTAGGGGTTGAGGTTTTGGCATCTGACTATTCAGTTGTTCCAACCCCTCTCACTGAAAAGATTATCCCCTCCTCGTTGAATTGCCCTGCAACCTTTGTTGACAATCAATTGATGATGTATCTTGAAGATAAAAATAAACGGAGGCCTTGACCTTAACCCCAATTTTAGGAGACCATAGAAGGGGCTGCTAACTCTTGTTACTGGTTGTGAAGCGATGCCTTTGAAACCCAGAATGAGGTCCCTCAAGAGCTTTGGCTCCTCCGTGAGAGCGAGAGTTGGGGAGGAGGCCGCGCTTACTCCCCAGCATGCCGAGGTCAGGCTTCCTGCCCATGAGGCTTACTTGCTGTGCGAGAAGGGGCAGGTGCCCCAAGCACAGCGCTGCAGCACCACGTACCTGGAGCGTTTAAATGTGTGTGTTCTCACCTGGACAGTTCCGTGTATAGCCATTGACCCGAGGGAGGTGATCAGATGCACGAGCGTTATGTTTGTGGTTCTCGGTGCAGTGTTGTCTGAAGGCCTCGCTGCCCACGGCCACGGTGTCCAGCTGTCGGCGCCTGGCCACTGGGCCCCGACTGGACATGTCGTGGCTTACCTAAGCAGTCCAGGGTGTGTTTCTGAGGAATATTTAACAATGTGAAAATGCGTATGATGTAGAGGAGAGCAACAGCCAAAGCCAGCTTCCAAGGCACGATTCCGTTGTGTGATTGAAACCCCACCTACCATAAAATTCACCATTTCCACCATTTTTAAGTATACAATTCTGTAGCATTAAGTACATTCACAGTGTTGTGCAACCATCACCACTATTTCCAAAACTTTTTCATCACCCCAAACAGAAACTCTGGAGCCATTAAGCAATAACTCCCCGTTCCCCTTTTCCCAACCCCTGCTAACTTTTGTCCCACTTTCTGTTTCTGAATTGCCTCTCCTAGGTATTTCATAGAAGTGGCATCATGCAGTATATCATCTGTTGTGACTAGCTGATCTCACTTGGTGTCATGTCCTCCAGGTTCATCCGTGTTGTAGCAGGTGACAGGGCTTCATTCCTTTGTGGCTGATAGTGTTCCTTTGTGTGGATAGACCCCCGTTTGTTTACCCCCTCATCCGTCGATGGACGCTCGGGTCATTTCCACCACTGGGCTATTGTGAACAGTGCTACTATGAACGTGGGTGTACGAGTATCTGTTTGAGTCGCTGTTTTCAGTTCCCTGGGCTATATCCTTAGGAGTGGGATTACTGGGTCATATAGTAACTCTGTTTAGCTTTTTGAGGAACCACCAAACTTTTTCTCAGCAACTGCACCGTTTTACATTTCCACCCAGCGGGAATGTAATGGTTGGCTTCAGGTAAGCGTGTGGGGAGGGGAAGGAGGCACTGGCTCTCCCTGCGAGGTCCTTCCTCAGCTGGAGTGGAGCCTGCGCAGGTCCCCTCGAGGCTCCCTGATTGTCGTGGGGGAGCGTGACCTGGGGAGTGCAGGTGAAGGAGCCACCTGGGTGCCTTCAGCCCCTTTCCTTCCTCTCCCCTCCCGTCCTGTCCCACAGGCGAGCGAGGACAAGGTGAAGCAGCTTGTGAAGGAGATCGGCCGCGAGATCCAGCAACTCAACATGGCCGGCTGCTACTGGCTCTCGGGCTCCACCATCGAGCACGTCGCCCGCTGCCGCAGCCTGGTGAAAGTGAACCTGTCGGGTTGCCACCTGACCTCCCTGCGCCTCTCCAAGATGCTCTCGGTCCTGCAGCACCTGCGCTCCCTGGCCATCGACGTGAGCCCCGGCTTCGACGCCAGCCAGCTGAGCGGTGAGTGCAAGGCCACGCTGAGCCGCGTGCGGGAGCTCAAGCAAACGCTGTACACGCCCTCCTACGGCGTCGTGCCCTGCTGCACCAGCCTCGAGAAGCTGCTGCTCTACTTTGAGATCCTTGACCGCACGCGCGAGGGCGCCATCCTCTCGGGCCAGCTCATGGTGGGCCAGAGCAACGTGCCCCACTACCAGAACCTGCGGGTCTTCTACGCCCGCCTGGCCCCCGGCTATATCAACCAGGAGGTGGTGCGGCTGTACCTGGCCGTGCTCAGCGACCGCACGCCTGAGAACCTGCACGCCTTCCTCATCTCTGTGCCCGGCAGCTTCGCTGAGAGCGGGGCCACCAAGAACCTGCTGGACTCCATGGCCCGCAACGTCGCGCTGGATGCCCTGCAGCTGCCCAAGTCCTGGCTCAACGGCTCGTCCCTCCTCCAGCACATGAAGTTCAACAACCCCTTTTACTTCAGCTTCAGCCGGTGCACGCTGTCTGGTGGTCACCTGATCCAGCGGGTCATCAACGGCGGGAAGGACCTCCGCAGCCTGGCCAGCCTGAACCTCAGCGGCTGCGTGCACTGCCTGTCCCCAGACTCCCTGCTCCGCAAGGCAGAGGACGAGATCGACAGCAGCATCCTGGAGACGCTGGTGGTGTCCTGCTGCAACCTGCGGCACCTCAACCTCTCGGCCGCCCACCACCACAGCTCCGAGGGCCCGGGCAGGCACCTGTGCCAGCTGCTGGCCCGGCTGCGCCACCTGCGCTCTCTGTCCCTGCCCGTCTGCTCCGTGGCTGACTCTGCACCGCGGGCCGACCGTGCTCCCGCCCAACCTGCGATGCACGCCGTGCCCCGCGGCTTTGGCAAGAAGGTCCGCATCGGCGTGCAGTCCTGTCCCAGCCCCTTCTCAGGGCAGGCGGTCCCTCAGCCTTCCTCCGTGTTCTGGTGTCTGCTGAAGAATGTGCCCTTTCTGGAACGCCTCGAGCTGATCGGGTCCAACTTCTCCTCTGCCATGCCGCGCAACGAGCCTGCCATCCGCAACTCCCTCCCGCCCTGCAGCCGGGCGCAGAACGTTGGGGACTCAGAGGTGGCTGCCATCGGCCAGCTGGCCTTCCTGAGACACCTGACGCTGGCCCAGCTGCCCAGCATTCTGACGGGCTCTGGGCTGGTCAGCATCGGCCTGCAGTGCCAGCAGCTTCAGTCCCTCTCACTGGCCAACCTGGGCATGATGGGGAAGGTGGTCTACATGTCTGCCCTCTCGGACATGCTGAAGCATTGCAAGCGGCTGAAGGACCTCAGGTGAGGGGGCCCTGGCAGCTCCTCCGTGGCCTCTACTCCCTTTGGAGGCCTTGGAGGAGGCAGAGGGGAAGTGAGTAGCACGGCCTTTCATTTGGCAAGTGTTTGCACACCTACTGTGCACCTGCCGAGATGAACGAGATGCAGCCCTGTCCTCCAGGAGCCGAGAGTCCTGAAGGGGTGGGGATCTGACAAGGGACTGTGTGCAATGATGGGACTCAGGAAGGCGCAGGGCTCGGGGAAGCAGTAGTTGGTGGAGCCCAGGGAGGGCGTGCAGGAGGCGGTGGTGCCTGAGCTCAGCACGTCGTCTTCATTACTGTGGCTGTTTGAGTGATGGCGCTGTATGGTGCTACTGTGTACATGATCTTGTTTAATCGTCATAACCATCCCACAAGGTGGATAGCATCGTTCCCATACAGCAGAATTGGTAAGTAGGGGAGCTAGGATTCGAACTTCGGGCTTTCTGCCTAGCTTGGTGATTCTGAAGGGTGTGCAGGAATTAGCCAGGAGATGCAAGGCCAGGGCTTTCTGGAAATGTTGGTGGCATGTGCAAAAACCCCAGAGGCTTGTAAGTATTCCATGTGCTAAAAAGCCAAACAGTTCTGAGTGACCGGGCACAGGGGCAGGGGTGAGGGGATGAGAGAGGAGAGGCAGCAGGTGAAGGTGCTGAGGGCCTTCAGCCAGCAGAGGGAGGGGGTCCGATTTCCAGTTGGTAATTTTATTTATTTATTTATTTATTCCCCAAAGCCCCAGTAGATAGTTGTATGTCATAGTTGCACATCCTTCTAGTTGCTGTATGTGGGACGCGGCCTCAGCATGGCC